TGATGGTGTAAATTACTTGACCGGTCAAACTATACTAGACCGGGTCTAGGATAGTTTGCTTGATTTGGCAAAGTAAGAAAGGTAAAAACACGCAGACTGACCGGTAGGACTTTAGGTGGAACACCTGTAGCCCAATTTATATTATAACGGAGAATGCCCGGGTGCTTTTACAAGGGAGTTTAGAGAGAATGAATTCGGATCCCTCTTTCCGAGGCTTACATGCGTATTTATACTAGGCTAAGGGGACAGGACCACGTGCGCCCACGTGGAGGCACGCTACTGATGTGCTGCGAGGTGACTGGTCCTGTACTGCCTTGTCATCTTGCGTGGGGGGCTGCGCCTTTGTCGTGTTCTGGTTCGGAAATATTCCCTCAGCATCTCCGCAACGCCAACCACTACAGTCCAAGCCTCTTTTGGATTCTTCCTGCCGACGCTCTTCGATCTTTAGACCGGGTGATCTTCGAGGGTTGGTTTGGCTAACTTCGGAGGACGAATTTAGGCGAAGGAGTAGTTTGACCGGTATGCTAACCCGAAGTGTACCGGTCAACTTTCTGGTCAACCAACCATCCTTTTGCTGACGATTCAGATCTCTCTTTCAAGTCCGACTTCTTTGACCGGTCAACTTTCTGATTCGGACCCTTGACCGGTCATGGGTGAAATACACCCATCAATAAGCCCTCCACTTCTCGGTTATGCAATTTTGTCATAAGCGGGAAGTAAAAATTTAAAACTGGACCTTTAAATTCGAATTTTTGGCTTTTCCTGCTCGAAATTTTTGAATTTCGAAATTCAAAGTGTCAGTTATGACACGTGTGGCCCGCTGGACGACATCAGACCTGCGCCCTTTCGTCTTCCCAGGCGCAATGATGGCGCCGCCTGACGCGGCGCGCCCTGGTGAAGCCACGTTGCCTCCCTCTCCTTCCTCCTCACCTATATAAAGGCCTCCATCCCCACTGCCTTCCTCACTTCTTCCTCGCGCGTCTCTCGAGTTTCACCGGTCAACTTCTCTCTCTTGCCCTCCAGCCCTCCGAGCCAAGTAAGCTCCCTTCTCTCTTCAGTTTTCATTCCCGGTCCATGTCTTCTTCTGATAGTCAAGGTATTTCTTCCTCGGATGCCTGCGCATCCGAGGAATCTTCAACCTCCTCTTCTTCGACCGGGTCCTCTTTATCCAGTTTCGAGACCCGGTCAGGCCCCAACACCACCATCCCTAAACCGCAACCTGTTAACCAGACGCCCGGTCAGGTTTCTCAGGAGAGGGATGAACCGGTTGACGATGAGCCGGCTCCCTATGACCCTGACAGCGAGTCGTATGAGGGATGGGTGAACCGGCTGGATGCAGCCGGTTATTTTCCTCTCCCTTCCAGCTACCCGCTTGACATCTATCCCCGGGTTTCTAAGATTGCCCAAAACAAAGCCCGTAGGAATCTCCCGGAGGGGTATGTCCTTGAATACGACCCTAACTGGCGCAATATCATCGAGCCTCACCGGGACGATAGGGTAGGGTTCCATATCATCTCCCTGGAGAGTGGCACCGTCTTCCCCCTTCGCCCCCTTCTGGTCGAGTTGTGCCACTGTTTCAAGATCCTCCCCGGGCAACTTACGCCCAATGCCCACCGTTTTCTTAATGCTTTTGTAAATATCTGCTCCCATCTCAAAATCGATCCTTCTCTTCGCTTTTTCCTCTATTTGTTTGAAGTCCTTCCCGGTAAGTTGGGTTGCGACGGCTACGCCTATTTCAAGGGCCGTAACGGTCGCCAATTCATCTCTGACCTTCCACAAAGCAACCGGCTGTGGAAGGAAAAATTTGTCTTTATAAAATTCCCCACCGTTTCTCCTTTGGCCGGCATAAAGTGGAGCGACCACCTCCTGAAACCGCAATACACTGAGCCGGCTAACGCTCCAGACTTGGAAGAAAGCTTGGAGAAACTCTTACAAGGGGACCCGTTCACCGGGCAAATGTTCCATTACGGGGCTTGGATTTGGAGGATTTCACCGGGTGGCACGGGTACCCCCCGGGCTGATGAAGCAGCGGGGCACGGGGTACCCGCCCCGGGCAACACTGCGGAAGCTAGGGCTTTCAGTCACGCAGGTATCCTCCCTTCCTCTTCTTCCTTCTTCCTTTCTATATACCGGTCCATGCTTGATTAATATTTTCGCTTGTTTTGCAGAGATGAACTTCAGAGCATTCAACATCCCCACGAAGAAGACCGGCGGCTCCTCCTCTGCTGCCCCCAGAACTGTACCGGTGCAACTGGAACCGGTGGAGATCAATTCCGAGGAGGAAACTCCTCCGACCGGGAGGACCACGGTAAACCCTCCCCTGGACAAGGGGAAGGGGAAGGTCCGGACGAAGCATGCCGCCACCACTCATCCCTCAGCCAAGAGGAGGAGGGGAGAAAATGTCCCGGCTTCAGAGTCGCTAGAGGAGCTCTGGGTAAAGATGGGGCAGAAGTTGAAGGAGGTAAAACTTCCGACCGGTATATTCTCTTGAATTTGTTGTCTTTCTGTCGCACTAACCGGTGCGTTTCGTTTTGCAGATGGGCGAGGTTGGGCCCGAGACCTTGGAGAGGCTTGTTGAGGACTCCCCTCCCCGGTCACTCCAGCTGGAGGAGAAGCTGAAAGGAGTCGAGGCCCACAACCGGTCATGGGTGAAATACACCCATCAGGGCCGATAATTAATATTTTCATACGGAGTATATATATAGATGCTCTCTCTATCTTGAGACTTTTTTTTCTAGCTCACTTAACGAGATTTGACTCAAATTATTTTAAATTTAATTTATTTGGTTTTAAGTATAAAATTAAAAAAATAAAAATTATATAGTTAAAAATTATATTAAAAATTTTACAAAAAAAGAAATGACGTGACTACATTATTTTATGAATTAAATAACAAAAATAAATAGAAAATGATTAAAGTTTGAACATATGAATTGTGACTGGAAAAAAGTTTTAGGACGGAGGAAGTATATATTATAAAAAAAATATAATATTCCATAACTATATTTCAATGTAAATCTAGTGATATTAAATTTGTAAAGTAGTGGAATGTATTTTTATGTAATTTATAATAATAAATAAAAAATTGACAAAGAGTTAAATTGAAAAAGGAAAAATTACCCAAAATAATCCCAACTTTACCCGGTCTTTCAAAAATAATCCCACCTTTCACTGTGACGCATAATAATCCCAACTTTAATGAAATTTGCCAGTTTTGGGTTGCCGTTAAGTTTCTAACGGAGGATTAACGGAAATGCCCGTTTTAGGCAACAAAATGAAAGTTGGGATTATTTTTGATGAATTTTTGTTTTTTAATTTTTTTTTAAATTTTCATTTAAATTTTTTAAATTACTTTCTCTCTCCATCATCATTTCTTTTTCCTTTTTTAAAGATTAGTCTTAGTTTAAAAAATAAAAACAATAGATATAAAAAATAAAAAAATGAGAAATATATATAAAATGATACAAAAATAATAAAATAAATACGGTAATCAATGGAAACTAACTTGAAATTGGAAAAAATAAAATAAAAATATACGGTTGGGTTTTAATATTTTAGGCATTATACAAAGTATTAACATATCACTTCTTATTTTTTAGAAAAAATTATCTACAATAATTCCAACTTTACCGGACGGCTTATTCTTTTAAAAAATTAGTAGTACATTAAGACTCTGTATAGTGTGTAAAATGTTAAACCCACGACTCCATATATATTTATTTTATTTTTTACCAGTTTTTGTTTAATTTCTATTGATTACATTATTTATTTGATTAATTTTGTATGGTTTTAGTTATTTTTCTCATTTTCATTATTTTTTATATCTATTTTTTTCTAAGTTAAGAATAATCTTTAAAAAAGAAAAAGAAATATAGAGGTTGAAAGTAATTCAAAAAATTTAAATAAAAATTTAAAAAAAAATTAAAAACAAAAATTCATCAAAAATAATCCCAACTTTCATTTTGTTGCCTAAAACGGGTATTTCCGTTATCCCTCCGTTAGAAACTTAACGGCGACCCAAAACTGGCAAATTTCAGTAAAGTTGGGATTATTATGCATCACAGTGAAAGGTGGGATTATTTTTGAAAGACCGAGTAAAGGTGAGATTATTTTTGAAAAACCGTTCATTTGACATCACTAGTTCATGTCATAAGAGTATAAGAGTGTTGTTATATTCACTTGTATTATGGCTAAATTCACTCTATTAATATAAAGAATAAAATTGTCTATTAACCATTAATTAAGTAGGTGGCCCACTTCGTGATGTTCACGTTGGAACAGATGAAGAGACACTTTCATACTGACCTTGCTACTAGACCCTGCGACTCTTATAAAGGAGCAATCCTTTGAGCGAAGCGATAACTGCGATGAGAAAAAAGATAAGGGTTCATACCCCGGGGCCAGTAACAAGGGTACCTCGAAGCGAAAGAAGTTCAAAAACAAAAAGGGCTCCCAAGAGAGACTCAAGGTAGGGAAAATTTTAGGAAGTGCCCAGATTTGAACAAACTCACTTTCCTCGTCGTTTCAGTAGGGAAAGTACTATTTTTAAGGTACTTGAAACCTTAAAAATTTATCTTGATTTAATGTCTTTAGTCAAACTTGAATAAAAAAATAAGACTTATGAGTGATTGAAAGCTAGAGAAAACATTACGCTTGACTATAAGCCTAAAGTCAAAACTAAGTTTTTTTTGCAAAACAGTATACTCATATAAGTGGATGCTAGTGAGAAAAGGCAAGAGAGATAGGCTTGTTGAAACTTATTACTTTTTCCTTTTTATCATCTCCAAATATGTACATCTTCTCACTCATAACAGAGTTCGATAGTACACTATTCTCAAGCCACAAAATTCAATAGTCCAAAACTCATAAGGCACAAATTTCGAGAGTCCACAACTCTCAAGGAACAAATGTGGATTGTTCAATATGGTTCTCCCTTTAACATTTTACCAGTTTACATAACTTTACAAAACACCATTCATAACAAATCATACAACTCAAGATGTTTTAAATTTGTAGAATTGTCCTTATCATGAAACCAAGATGTAAGTTCGTGGGGGTGCAGCGGAAATCACCAATTGGATCAAACAACTATGTTGTAGAGAATATACTACAGTACTGTCACATTAATAGATAACAAAAAGAGTGCTATAATATTTTCTCTATCACAAGCACACACGCAGAATATAAAGTAAAACGCAGAATATAAAGTAAAAGCAGTAAACAATACACAAGAACTATTTACGCAGTTCGAAGAACCTCTCCTAGGTCTATGTGGCCTACGTCCGTGTAACAGCCCTTCCACTAAATCTGTAACGCCCCGAAACATACCCTAGAATTATTAATGAATAATTATTCAATTAATCAAATTTGTTTTGATTAAAATAAATTGTTGTTGGGCTTTGGGCCGAAATAAAACATATATTGATATCCAATATCACAATCTGGATAAATCTTATAGAGATAAATCCAACATGTTGATTTATTGTGTGATCTTGATTGGGAACCTGAGTACAGACCCAAATTAAGAATAAATGAAGAAATTGTTTATAATGTGAACTTTGAAATGATTTATTGAAATAAATCATCGGAATAAATAATATGAATTAAATGTGAGAACCTTTTTGAATAAAGGCCAATTTTGACTCTGTCAAAGTCAACCACCCAAAAATATGATGTCGGAAAAAGTATAACGAATAAATATAAAAATTATATCGTTGGATAGAGTTTAATTGCACGATTGCAACGGCGCAAACAGAATTCAATTCGGAGAAAGTTAAACCAAAAAGTGTTCCCCGACTGGGACCAAATTAGTCCCAATCAGGGACTTGCGTTCGGAATTGTAGAGATAGGCCGTCCGCTCCACTGAGACGCCAAAACAGGAGATCACCGTGTCTTCTTCCTCTTCCTTCTCCTATAAAAGACTACCACAACTCCCTCCATTCTTCACCATTTCTTACAAAGTTTCATTTTATTCTGTTGCTGGGAGTGAGGAGAACGTGGTGGTGCTGTCGTATTGGTGTGAGGTCGCCGGAGTTGAGAGCTATCGTCACCGGAAGTTTCGCCGGAAAGTTCTCAAAACCTTCGATAAGCTTCGAGGTAAGCCCGTAGATATATCTAATGACTAGAATGTTCGTATAGATCGTTTCTACGTTCATAAACGGTCGTTTGGTTGAGTTTTGTGTTTGACATGCTTAAAGAACCAAGAATCATAAACCATTAAATTGATGTTAAAACTATGAATTAATGATGCCAAAATGATCTATGAACCTTGGAGAACATCTCTATATAGTTTTGTTGAAGTTCGGTAACTAAAAACGGTATTCTCGAAATTGGACCCGAACGAAGAA